CTGGGGGCGTCCAACTAGATCTCACCGAAGCGATGGTGAGCAATGCTCAAACCTAAGGCTAGGGACAAGTAAATGTATTGGTTAGTAGGGTAAGAAAGAATACAAATGAGGGCTTACTGACCTAGGGACAAGAGGTCGAAACTGAGGTCCCTAGGGCAGCAGAGGCCGGCTTATATACAGGGGGAGTTTAGGGGAGGCTGTGCGCACTGGTCCGTGCACAGCTGGTCCATGCGCAGCATGCTGACGCGGCCCCGGGGGCCGGTGAGTCAGAGAGGCTGTGTCAGCGGAGCCCGAGCTGTGCCGCGCACTGCCACCCCATCTAATCTAATCATACAGTAGATAACGACGCGTCCATATCTGGTATGTAGTACAAAGGTCGCGGGTTCGAGCCCGCGAAAAGGAAAAAATTAAAAAACGGCTAGACGCCGTACCAACTCGTGACATTACCCCCCCCTCAACGGCGCATGACCTCATGCGAGGTGCCCTTGCCCATTTCCCACCCGGAGCGGCAGCGTGCTTCAGTCAGCGGCGAAGGCATTGGCTGAAAGTTGAGACCACCAAAGGTAGCCGCGTTGAGGCGACGAGGGGCGTTCGGATTCTTCCGGTGGAAGTCGGCTATGAGGGCCGGCGCATTCGTAATGTTGCGCGCCGGTTCCTATGACGTATGCGAGTCGTCATAACCCTTCCACTTGACGAGGTACTGCAGCTGACGCCGGAAGATTCTCGAATCCTTGACCTCCTCAACCTCGTACTCCTCGTCGCCCTCAACCTCAATGGCAGGCGGCTCCTCCGGCTCCCGGCCCGGGATGTCGCTACGCGTGTACTTGCTTAGCAGGGAGACATGGAATACTGGGTGCACCGGCACCAACTTCAGCAGGACTAATTCGTAATCCAGGTCTCCAAGCTTTCGCCGCACGGCATAAGGTCCGAGGCACTTGGGACTGAGCTTCTTGCTCGGCTGTTTCAGCTTAAGGTTCCGGGCATCAAGCCAGACCTTGTCCCCCGACGCAAAGACCGGTGCCTCCTGCATGTGCTTGTCATAGTACACTTTCATGCGCTCGGCGGACAGCTCGAGCGCAGAGCGCGTATCGTCGCGTATCTCCCTCAAGATCTTGAGCCGATCAGCGGCTGCGGGCATCGCAGACATCGGATTGATCCGAACCTGGATTTCAGGATTGTACCCTTGATGCAGGAAGAAAGGGGAGTGCCCAGTTGCGGAATGAACTCGATTATTCAGCGCAAATTCTGCAAGCGGTAGCTGTTTCGCCCAATCATCCTGCCTGTGGCTTGTGAAAGCACGCAGGTACTGCTCAATTTCCTGATTCCAGCGCTCGGTCTGGCCGTCTGTCTGAGGGTGGAAAGCTGTGGACAGCGCCGGCTCGATCCCTAGGCCCTTGTACACCGCATGGAGATACTTTGAAGCGAACTGGGGTCCTCGGTCTGATATGACCTTGGCCGGGGCCCCATGATGCTTGAACACATCGCGGATGTACAGGTCTGCCGCACCTTCTGCCGTCAGGGTCTCATGACAGGCCGAGAAGTGGACCTGCTTAGTGAAGCGGTCAGCGGTAACCAGGATTGAGTCGAATCCATCAGACTTCGGCAAGCCAACGATCATATCGGTCGTGATGATCTGCCACGGGCGCTCGGGGATCTCGTTCGGCTTCAGTGGTCCCTGGGGCTTGGCTGGGAATGTCTTGGTACGGTTGCACACATCGCAGGTGCTTATGTACTCATTGACGAATTTAGACATCCCAGGCCACCAGTAGTTCCATGATACGAGCTCAAGGGTTTTGGCCCGACCGCCATGGCCGGCGATTGGCGAGTCGTGGTGGATTTTGACAATATCCCGCCGGAGCTCTGCATTCTTTGGGACATATACGCATCCGCGGAACAATAGGAGTCCTTGCTCGGCATTCCACTCCTCCAAACCCCTTTGCAGCCGGGGCGGCCCGAGGTCCTGCACCTTTTCAAGTGCCTTGGCCACCTCCCGATCCTTCTCCGAACATTCCCTGATGCGCTTCAGAAGCGACTGATCTGCTGTCACCGAGGCATGACCGCGTCTGACGGAGGCGATGCGGAACCTCTCCGGTCGGAGGACCACCTGATCGGTGTTATCGTCCTCATCGCCGACCTGATGGTCTGATTGGCGTGACAGAGCATCAGCTTTTCCGTTCGACGTTCCGGCCTTGTGCGTGATGCGGAAATCGAAGCGTGCCAGGAATAGCGACCAGCGAGCTTGACGACGCGTGAGATGCTGGGACGTGCGCCAGTACTCGAGGTTCTTATGATCGGTCACGATCTCGAACTGATTAGGTAACCCCTCGAGGTAATGGCGCCACTCTTCCAAGGCTTCGATGATCGCGAGCATCTCCTTGTCGTAGATCTCGTAGTTGCGCTGAGCTGAGTCCATGGCATGGGATCGGAAGGCGACGGGATGCCATTTGCCGTCATCCTGCTTCTGCATCAGCACACCGCCAGTGGCATATCCCGAGGCATCGACTTCGATGCGCGTTTCCTGGTGGGGATCGTACAGCGCCAGCACAGGGGTTGTGCCAAAAAGGCGCTTGAGCTCGTCAAATGCACGCTGCTCCTCTTCACCCCAGTGCCAGGGGTCATTCTCTGTGAGCCGGTCGAGTGGTCACGAGATCTTGGCGAAGTCTTTGATGAAGCGGCGGTAGAAATTGGCAAACCCCCGGAACTTCTGAACGTCCTTTTTGTTCCGGGGTACCGGCCACTCATTAATTCCTTTCAGCTTCGCGGGATCCATCACCACCTCATCGCCACCGAACACATAGCCGACGTAGTCGACTTTGGGAACATCCCATTCGCACTTTTCAGGCTTCAGGAACAGATCGTTCTCCTGAAGGCGGCGAGAACCTCGCGTGTGACCTTTTCATGCTCTGCTCTGTTGGTAGAGAAGATGAGGATGTCATCCAGGTATACGAGGACTTTGCCACCGATGATGAGATCATGGAAGATCTCGTTCATCATTGCCTGGAAAGTTGCGGGAGAATTGGTGAGGCCGAAGAACATTACCAGGGGTTCGTACAGTCCCCGGTTAGTCACGAAGGCCGCTTTCCATTCATCACCGGCCTTGATCTGGACATTGTTGTATCCCCATTGGACATCGAACTTAGTGAAGAGCGTGGCACCGCGGAGCTTATCTACCATCTCGGCGATCAGCGGCAAAGGGTAGCGATTTTTGACTGTGATCGCGTTCAACTAGCGGTAGTCCTGCACGGGTCGAAGTGTCCCTTCCTTCTTTTTGATGAAGAAGAAGGGGGACGAGATGGGGGACTTTGACTCCCGTATGTAACCCTTTGCTAGTTGCTCTTGTAGGAACTTGTCAAGCTCCTCTTGTTCGTTGTTCGATAAGGGGTACACCTTCGAATGGAACATCGAGTAGCCGGGCACGAGTTCGATTGCATGGTCGTACAGCTTCCTTTCGGGTAGCCGTTTGGATGCTTCCTTCGAGAAGACTTTCAGGAACTCGTGGTACTGTTTAGGTACCGACTCCTCAGCGGTCTTAACTGATACAACGGTCTATACTCCTATATCGACGCCTGACTCGTAGATGACGAGCGAGGACTTATGGACAGTGCATCGTCCTGAAGATCGAGCGAGGAAGTCGAGAATGACCACTACTCCAAGCGAAGAGGAGCAGAGACTTGAATGAATAACCAGGTCGAACTTAGGGTTCGACCGACTAATGGTACAACTACTTATACAAGTACCGACTGCGCACGGACCATCGTGTCTATGTGGTCGTGTTAGTGAAGAAAGAAACGTAGTGGTACGATACCAGGCACGAAGTGCGCACGGACCTCATTATGTAAGCTACATAATGTTCAACCGGCGGGTGAGCACTAAGACAGGCACCAGTATGGGCGCTAGTAGTACAAGGAATAGAACGGAAAGACAAATGTTTCATTACCCCCCTGCCAGAGTCGAAGTCCCATTCGACTACTTACTGCTCACCATCTCCATACAACTCCCAATCTACGCTGTCGTCCTCCTCTTCGTCGAACCACTCCTTGCGCGCGTTCCTCCCTACATTCTTCCATTCCTCACCAGAGAGGTGCTTCTGATGCGGCCAGGAGCTGTCCCACGTCCATTGAGTGGTGTCGGGTGTCCAGTCGGGGTCGACTTTGCGAAAGACGACGGGTGTATCGGGGCAGGGGCGCGAGGGTCCCGCGACGGGACTGGCGGGGGGTTCGGGGTTAGCGCTACGTGGTGGAGGGATGGGTATCGCTTTCGTCTGCCTTTCTTTCTCCTTCCTCTCCTTCGCCTCGTTGATGATTCCTTCGAGGAACACATTGTCGACGACCACCCCCACACGTCGCGCAGGTTCTTCAGGTGGTGCGGATACGTGTCGCTTCATCGGCCTGGTTCCGCACTCTCGCTCCAGGTGTCCAGGGGCTTCTTTTCCGCATCCTGCGCATCGTACGTCCGGACAGTCCCGTACCCAGTGTCGAGACGATCCGCATCGCCTGCAGCTTCCCTTCGGGGTCCAACCAGGGTTGGGTTGCCAGTCAGCCGGGATGGTAGTGCTCCACGGCGTTGCTTGGAGGAAAGGGGATGGGATCGGGGGGCGCCTGAAGGCAGACGTCGGTAGGGGTGCGGGTAGGGGTAAGTACGCGTTGGGGATGGCACGCGGGATGAATTTGTTGTGTCGTGCCCGGATGCTACGTGGTAAGAGCGGTTGAAAGCGATGGGCAACTTTCAGATTGTCGAGCCGGATGAGCTTGGTGAGGACGCGGTCGTCCTGTTGGCGTAGGAGCCGCTTGTGGTGGTCGATGGCCTCGTCGGCTGCCTTGACAGCCTCGTCGTATTCGCGGCGGGCGGAGAGATACGCCTCTAGTGCAGCGCGGTCGGTGGCATTGGTTGCCTCGGGGTTGTGGGCTTTGAGCTTGTTGAAAACGTCGGTGGGGTTACTGAGAAGGAGCGTTAGCAAGGTGCTGTCGCCGACGTGGGTGTGCTTAGGGGTGTAGATTGAGAGCCTTTTCCCGCCTTCGGTCGAGGGGGCGTTGAACTGGTCGAGGAACGAGAGGGTGGAAGACATGTTGGTGCGAGTGGGGATGTAGTAACTGGGTAGAGCTGCTATCGTTTCAGCTCAAGTCCTTCCTGTTCTTATACTCTGCCAACACTTCGTCAGCTGTCCCAGTCAGGTTCGCTTCGGGCTCCCATGAGTCATCGGCTGTTAAGTAACCCTTCCATCTGATGCGATATTCCCGGCGTCGCATCCTCTTGTTCTCTCGGTGTCCGATGATGGCTTCGACTTTGTAGTTATCTTCGCCTTCGATAAGGTCAGGGGGTGGCCTCGTGTAGTTTGGACCATGGATCTCCGTCTCCGAGTAGGGAGATAGAAGCCATTCATGGAAAACGGGGTGGACTCGCCAGGTGCTAGGCAAGTCTAGCTTGTACACGACTGTTCCAATCTTATCTAGGACTTTGAACGGCCCTTCTCGCCTCGGGGCTAGTTTCCTGGACGGGTACGGCAGCTTCAAGTTCCGGGAGTCGAGCCATACCAGCTGACCTTTACGGAAGGAACCCCCCTTCCTTTTTACTCTCTTGGCCAGGACGTTCTGGGCCATCTCCATTGCCGCATGTGCTTCTTCGCGGATGTTTTGCAAGTCCTTGAGGTGATAAGCTGCTTGGGGCGTGTTTGATCTGGGGTGCGCGGTGGGTATTCCACGAGGTTCGTATCCCATCATGAGTTTGAACGGGGACGCCTTCGTCGTGGAGTGCTCGCGGGAGTTGTGAGCAAATTGCGCGGTGTGAAGATGGTCAGCCCACTTATCCGGGTCATTGGCAGTGAAGCAGCGGAGGTAGATTTCCAGCTCTTGGTTCACTCGTTCTGTCTCGCCGTCGGTTTGCGGATGGAATGCCGTACTCATGGCTGATTGAACTCCAGTCATTTTGCAAAGTTCCTGGAAGACTTTGGACGCAAATTGCGGTCCTCGGTCACTGATGATCTTGTCTGGGAGTCCAAACCACTTGTAGACCTCTCGGTACATTGCATCTGCCGTCCCAAGAGCGTCAATTGTTTTGTTGCATGGGATGAAAATTACCCCCTTCGTAAGGTCGTGGTCCACTACGACCAAAATGGAATCAAAGCCATTGGACGGTGGCAAGTCGGTAATGTAATCGCACGAGAATGTGCTGAAGGGCTTGGCATTTGCGCGGGGTCGAATGGGGGTGATGGGCGGTCGGGCTGGATGCGTGTTAACCTTCATTTGTTGGCAGATGCCACAGCTGTTAACATAGCGAGCAACAAACTGGGCCATGCTCGGCCACCAGTAGTCACGGCGTAAACCGAGGAGGGTTTTCTGAACACCGGGGTGTCCTGCGGAGGGGAGGTCGTGATAGTGGGAGACAAGGCGCTTGCGAAGAGACTCATCTGGGGGTACATAGACCCGATCCTGGTATAAGAGGAGGTCATCATTGATGGACCAGTCTGTTCCAGTGCGTGGTGTTCCTCCGGTGCGCGCTGCAGTGAGTCCTTCCTTCATTATAGGGTCGTCTTTGAAAGAAAGGATGGTGTCGCGGGTGTCGATGTCGATGGCAGCGACCCATACTTCCGGGGGAAGCATAACGACATCAGTGTTGTCATTTGAGCCATCATCATGGTCGGGTCGGCGGGAGAGAGCGTCGCTCTGCACCATTTGGGTACCAGGAACGTGCACCAGGCGGAAGTCAAACTCGGTCAGTTTACTCGCCCAGCGTGCTTGTCGTCGGTTCATGTCTTTGGCTTGTTTCCAATACGTGAGGTTCTTGTGGTCGCTGAGAATCGTCACTGGGTATGGGCTGCCGATGAGGTAGTGCCTCCACTCATCTAGTGCGCGGATAACCGCATATAACTCTCTGTCATAGATGTCGTAGTTTCTCTCTGCCGCATTGAAGCTTTGAGAGAGGTATCCGCAAGGATGCCAGTCACCGTTATCATCGCGCTGGCGTAGCACCGCTCCGGTGGCAAACTTTGAGGCGTCAGTTTCGATGGCGAAGGGTCGGTCAGGATCCGGCATACGTAGTACCGGTTCCTCTAAGAACACCTTTTTGAGGGTCTCGAAGGCTTTCTGTTGGTCAGATCCCCAGGTCCAGGCGACGTCCTTCCGGGTGAGAGCGACCAGCGGTTGCGCTTTGTCCGAGAAGCCTTTGATAAACTGGCGGTAAAAGTTTCCAAATCCAACGAAGGCGCGTACTTGCCTGAGGTTGGACGGCACCGGCCAATCCGCAATGCCAGCTAGTTTGACAGGGTCCATTGCGATTTCTCCTGGACAGATGATCATGCCGAGGAATTCGACTTCGGTGACGTCGAAGGCACATTTCTCCGGTTTGAGGTAGAGGTCGTGTTGTCGAAGTCGTTCGATAACACATCGTGTTCGTTCTTCGTGTTCTGCCTTGTCCTGGGAAAAGATCAGGATGTCGTCCATGTAAATGCAGAGCCAGCCTTCTTGAAGCATGTCTGCAAATATTGTGTTCATCATCCGCTGGAACGTAGCGGGAGAATTACACAGCCCAAAGAACATCACCGTTGGTTCGTATAGCTGTGGCGGTTTGCCATCAGTTCCGGGTACGATGAACGCTGCCTTCCATTCATCCCCTTTCTTGATTCGAACATTGTTGTATCCGGCGTGGAGGTCCATCTTCGTGAACATCTTGGCATGCTTCAACTTGTCCAGGAGGTCGGATATAAGCGGGAGCGGGTATCGATCCTTGACCGTGTTCTCATTGAGCAGCCGGTAGTCTTGACAGGGACATAGTGAACTGTCCTTTTTACCAACAAAGAAGAATGGACTCGCCAACGGGGATTTCGACGGGCGAATGTACCCTTTACTCAGGTTCTCCTCGAGGAACTTGTCGAGTTCCTTTCGTTGCTGTGGGTTGAGCGGTGATAGGTGCCAAGCCCCTCTGGGCCCCGATTCACCTCTTTTCGGCAGTCGCATCCCGCCAGGCACTTCGACTCAGTCTCCCAACACTTCGATTTCGCCTTCGACACTCTTCGACATCTTCGACGGTGCGCGACACTTGCTCGAAGCTCGGCACGGTCGTCCCGATGCCTTGCGCGTATCTTCCGCATTCGGCGGACAATAGGGCCACTTGACGCCATTCGGCCAAGCGCGTGCATTGCTCAATGCCACACCGACGTAGCCGGTCTTTCCCGATTAGGTATCGAACCTCGCGGCATGCCTTCAACGACGGACACCGGTCCGAAGTGTCTCGCATGTTTCTCTTCATCTCCGCGTTCGGCATGACGTCACTCTACCGATGAACTTGATATGTGCCCCTCGGTGAGGCAGCTTCTTGAGGAACAATGCAAAGCCCCTTGTACTTGTGCCACTTCCGATAGTCGTAGCGTCCTATGCGTAGTATAAATTCTGTCGTACTTCTCTCCAAAAAAACAAGATCCGGTTCCCCCCTCAAGTTCAGAGCTCATAAGTTGAGTTCGCCCCGCGTCTAATCCTTCAACTGCGTCACTTCGTCTCTCGCTGCGTAACTTCGAAACCTCGTCCACCGCGTTTACTCGTCGATACCGTCTCAACGAACCCTTCGACTTCGACTATTGTCGAAGAAACTGCGAACCGTCCTAGTTAAGTCCCCCCTATCGAATCGTGTCTCTTCTCTCTACAATACATCGAAGAGCTCTGCCGAGCTTCGATCGTCTCCGCTAACTTTCCACAGCATCCGAGTAGCTTCGACGACGTGTCGAAGCCACCTCGTACCTTCCCTAGCGTTCGTAACCTTTTCCAAAGGCGTTTCTCGTGTTCACTCGAACCGCGGGACACCTTGCTGCTAACTCCCCTCTCACTAAGACTATAATCCGTCTCTCTAGTCCCTTTAGGTCGCACCCAGGTTAGGGGTTAGGGTTTCGTAGGTCGTATCAGCGGATAGACCTGTTGCTTCATATCCGCGAAGCCCTCCTTGAGGTTGATTTCGTGGTCATATTCAGTGTGGTCTGGAAGTCGCGCAGCGGTGCCTTTGTCGAAGACGGGGAGGAGATCGTGTAGGTAGGACGGTACCATCTGTGGTAGCGTTTTTTCTGTCTTGCCTTGGGCGTTCGATGCTGCCAGTTCAGTGGAAGTGGTGACGCGCCTAATGTCGTGGTGGATCTTCCAGATCATACCGTTGTGAAGTCGTTTGTAGCCAGATGAAAGTTCAGGGAGTCGCTCCTTGAGCGGAGCGTCCCTTACGGCCAGGGGTTCCTGTTTCTCGTACTTGGTGATCATCGGTGCTCCAGATAAGTAGGAAATGATGAACTCATCATCGTCGATGTCCTCCGCTTGTTCCTCGATGGACGCAATACCCGTTGATCCAAACCCATCCTCCCCGCGTTCTGTTTCGTCGATGCAGTCGGTTAGCGTTACTGGTGGGGTGCTTATCCTTTCGAGGATGAGCTGGGCAACTCGGTCGCCGGCTTTGACGGTGAATGGGAGGTCAGAGTTGTTGACCAGCAGGACTGAGACCTTGCCTCGGTAATCGGAGTCGATTACTCCTGCAGTGACATCAATTTCCTTTAGCGCTAGACCGGACCGAGGTGCGATTCTTCCGTAGTGTCCTTTGGGGATAGCCATGGTAAGATCGGTGCCGACCAGGCCTCGTCGTCGGGCAGGGATGATGAGTTGATGCGCAGCAGAGATGTCATATCCTGCTGTGCCGCTAGTTTTTCGTTCGGGGAGGGTTGCGTGTTCCGAGGTGGGAATGACGACGAATTCATCCTTCGTTGGTTCTGGGAGTGGGGTAGTTACGGCCTTCTTCAGTTCTAGCCGAGCCACTCGCCTTTGGTACAGGTCCATCTTCCAGGCCCTTGTCTCGTCTTTCGTCCATTGGTGGTTTAGCTCAACTCGTCCGGTTTTCCAGTCTATCTTGGGGTTTTCGAGCTTGAGCCAGGTATGGCCGAAGATGACGTCTTCCTTGCCGATGCTGGCGACGTAGGCTTTGACGAATCGGGGTTCTCCGCTTATCTTGTAGGATAAGAGAGCTCTTCGCGTGATGAGTGCTTCTTTGTTCGGTGTTCCATCCACGTTGAAGACAGGGATGGGTCGGGGAAGAGGTTCTGTCCGA